TTTGCAGCTTCTTCTGCAATTCTTTTGGCCTCAGCTTCTTTTTCCGCCTTCTTTTCGGCCTTTCTCTTAGCTTTTGCTTCCTTTCTTAGCTTTTTCTCCTCCTTGGCTTTTTTCTTCGCTTCTTTTTCCGCTTTTCTTTTGGCTTTGGCCTCGGCTTCTTTCTGCTTTTTTTCCTCTTCAGCTTTCCGTGCAATTTCTGTTTCTGCCTCTTTTTGTTTCGTTTCTTCTTCCGCCTTTCTTTTCGCTTCAGCATCTTCCTTTGCAGCCGGCTCTTCCTCCATTATTCTCATGGCCTCGATTTCTGCCTTCGCTGCTGCATCGTGTTCTGCTTCTTTGGAGGCTTCATCAGCCTTGGCTTCGATAGCTCCTGCGGTATCTTCGTCGTCGTTTTCCTCAGCCGCATCTGTAGTGGTATTGGCTTTTTTGTCTTCAACCAGATTCTTTTTCGACTTGTTCTTCTTTTTTCGTTTCGCCCATTTCGATGCCTTCGTCGAATGAAGTTCCGTGCCTTGGTCGGGGCAATCGTCCTTGTCTTCGCTATCGATTCTGCCCAGATCCAATTTTGGCATCAGCATGTTGCCTCTCAGAACGGCATCCTGCGCACCACCCTGGCCCTGCGCAACGACTTCCTTTTCCAGGTCCGTTTTCTGTCCAATCTGCCGAAACTTTTTCTTCCACTGGGGAGACTGGGGGTATTCAATGTCAGAGGTGATGTTTCTACGGACAATATTTCGGACACGGGTGTCCTTCCCCTTCGCTTCCTCGAAGTTGTCGTTCGATACGAACCTGGGAGACTTCGGTGGGGGAGGGACACTTTCGACAACGGGTTCGACAAAGCTTTCAACAACGCTGTCCACACTTTCACTGGGCTCATCGTCAAACAGAGATTTGACCTTTTTCTTTCGAAAGTCCCACTTTGTCTTGGGCTTGAACGTGCAGTTTTCGAGTTCTTTCTCCTCGTATCTCCGGTCCCTCTCCAATTTTTCCCTCTGGTCACGCGTCAGAGTGTGTTTGGGTTCCGGCGTGGGAGAATCAGGAGCGTTTTCGCGTCGTTCTCGGATCAGGTCCCACTTCAGATTGGGCTTGAAGGTCAGTTCTTTCGAATCAGACTCCTCCACCTTCCTGCGCTCTTTCTCTTCTCGTTCCTAAAGATAGTGTCCGCAAAAGAAAAGCAGATATCAGTGAGGCTGATAAATTGCAGGAGTACTAGGTACTGCACGCACACAGACGATGTACCAACAGAGCCCCCAAGCAGCACACAATGATTCCGCACTGTACTGTGCTATACTATACAAAACACTCAACTCACCGCTTGGAGAATTCTCGCCGTGTTCCGAGCCTCTTCTTCCTCTTCCCGCTCCCTCTCAATGCGTGCCAACCTTCGCCGTTCCGCCACGAGGTTCCACTTGGTTTGTGGCCGAAAGGTATAAGCACCGGGTACCTCGAGAGCCTTGGTTTCGACGCGTTTTCGCAGCTGCTCCGCCTCCTCCGCATCCGACAAGGGCCGTGCCCGGAGCTTCTCTTCCCCGGCCTTGTAGAGGGATTCTACCCGCGGACTCGCCGTCTGGACCGATGAGACGGAACGCCCTCCCCCCGCCGCCGAGTGCTGCGAGTACTGGCTGGCCGAGGACATCCAGGCCCCGGCTCCGAACCGTTCGTTGTGGGGTTTCTCACGCGGACGGTGCCGCTGGGCACGCGAGGCAGCGGTTCCAGTGCCATAAAGCCGCGAAAAGACCGATCCCACGGTGGCAGTGCTCGCTCCTCCCCCGACGGTGGACGTCGGGGAACCGCCCAGGCTGCTGACGACGGATTCCCCGCTATGGCGGTGGCTGCCATAGCGGGAGGGCGTAAAGGTAAAGTCGACCATCAGCGTTTCCTGCAGGGCCTTTAGCTTTCGCTCCCTTTCCTCCTTTTGGAGCATGGATCGCTCGTACATCGTAAGTCCACCTCTGGTTTTCCCCGGGGATGTCCTCTGTGCCATGGAATTTGTTGCGTTTGCTGTTGCTTCATTTCCAGCTTTTCCCGGTGATGGTGGCTGTTCCTCGGGTTCTTCTTTTTGCTCCGGCTCGTCGTTCGTCACCTCGTCGTTGCCGCCGCCGCCGCCGCCGCCAACACTCCCATCAGAGTTGCTCTTGTCCTCGGTGCCACTGCTAATCTCGCTCTCGATCGGTTGGTCTCCGATTTGATCGTTTCTCAGATCCGAAGAGTGGATTGTGCTTGGTTCCTCCATGGTAAATCGTGATGTGTCAACTGCGTCAACTGCGTCAGTGTGTTAAGCTCGTCCTGAAATGGGGAGGAACAACAATCGTGCCGAGACAATGGCGAACCCAAGCGTCGATAGATCGATCGTGTAAGAGTTGGGATGCACAGCGGAACACCGATGTTGCTCGCTCGCTTAGACAGTGTCGTGCCGTAGAAAGCAGTAAAGAGGAACAACGCACGAAGTCAGTCTTGTGGTGCAAGCTGTGATCGGGTAGTACTGGATCTTCGAGATGTCGATGTCTTCTGCAACCTTCTCTTCGGTTTTTGAAATCATTGAAGTGAACCGGATGCGTTGGAAAACGCTGCCCCGACGACAAGCGGTATGTATTTCACTGTGCGGTACGGTACCGTACGACTCAGGCCCCTACCGTAAGGCACGTAACGGTACGAAACGACTGCGGTTTGTAACTCGAGGCAACGGGACACGTCGTGATTTCAACATGAGTAAATTATTCTATTAAGCCAGTGTAGAAGCGTAGTGACTGACTCCAACGCCAGACTTACTCGATAAGTAGGCGAAGTGGTGGGCTGGTGCGTCTCAGAATACGAATACTTAGCATTCGTATCATTGTAACCATAATCCAGCCGACCGTTTGCCGCGCGAAGTGAATGACTACTGGTATGTTCCGTTTGGGCCGTTGTGCTACACTATTAGGGGGAAAATGACGAATGACACACTTTCGAGGGGGCGGTCCAACGAGGCAGGTACGGTACAATTCACTGGGATTCGAGTTTCGAGTCATAAGTACGATTCATATGGTATGATGGTATTATCGTGTCCGTAAACAATAGGATGTCGGAGGACGAAACTCCTACCGTACGGTAGGAGGTGAGCTTGTTCCTTTTTCTTGATGATACCTTTTTTGTTAGTATTACAGTATGAGTCCCTACCGCATTACCATAGCTAGTACTTCGTGGTTTATTTCTTGATTGCCCACCTTGATGGTAGGTGAGAGTCGTTTCTGTTCTCTCGTTTGATTTTCACTCGTTGCGTTGCGTTCTGCTCCGCATTGCTTTGTACAGAGCAGCTCAATGCAGTAGCAGTAGCAGTTGCAGTCACGGTCACTCGCACGAAAGAGTGCTACCTAGTGATTACTGGAAGGACGTCTTCCAGACTTGTGGGGCGATCTTCTCAAGAGCCTCCGCCACGGCGTTCTGGATCTCCTCGGTGGGCGTCAGAGCGAGCATGAGTCCCCCGCGGCCGGTTCCGCTCATCTTCGCACCGACGGCCCCGGCGGCGCGGGCAGCATCGACGAGGGTGTCGAGCTCCTTGCAACTCACGGTCAGGTCCTGGAGAAGCTTGTGGTTTTCATTGAGGAGGGATCCGAGCAGCGCCGTGTCGCCGTCCTCGAGCGCCTTTTCTCCCTTGGTAGCGACCTCGCAGTACTTCTTCAAAAGGTCATCGAACCAGGCAGGGTCGGCTTCCTTCTTGGCCTTGACGTCTCCGACAACCTCGGTGGTCGACGAGGTAATGCCGGTAGATGCGTAGACGATGCGAATGGGTTCCTTTATCGTCTTCTTCTCAAAGATGGGGTCGGCATCGGTCCGTTGGAACTTGAGGAGGCCCCCAAAGGTTGCGGCCGTGTTGTCAATTCCAGAGGGGGTTCCGTGGTATCCCTTCTCACCCTCGTATCCGGCGGCATTTACCTCATCGTCGGTCAGCTTGGCGAATTCTGGGAGGGTTTCCTTGACTGCACGGGCCAGGGCTACAACCTGGGCGGCGCTGGCACCGATGCCGCTGGCGCAGGTGAGGTTTCCGCCAAAGGTAAGGGTCGCCTTCTTGCCTTTTCCAAAGATTTTGAAGTGGTTCAAAACAAGATCGATAGCCTTCTTGCCCTCCTCGGCCTTCTTCGTTTTGTAGTTGGGAACGGCGGGGCGGTTGTCGATCACCTCGACGATACCGGTCGGGCTCTCGTCCTTAGAATCAGCGGGAGCGTCCTCGAGCTTGATGGAGCAGTCCGTGTACGCTGCCACGGCGCCGACAAGGGCGGGGACCTTGTAGACGACAAAGTGCTCCCCGAAGAGGATGAGTTTTCCGTACGCATGGGTCTTGGCCAGTCGTTCGGCATCGGCGTCCACAGCAGGAGCGGCGCTGTCGTCAACCTTGGCTTTCTTGGCGGAATTTTCGGCTTCTTCCTCCGAGGGTCGCTTCGCAGCGGTCTCCTCGGCCGGGGCAGCGGGGGTGGTCTCGGCGACGGTGGCCTCTGGGGTAGTGTCTTCGGTTGAGGGAGCCATTTTGGATATGATATATTTCTGTACTGTAGCTTGGTTTGGGTTGGAGAGGGGTTGGAATGTGCAAGACTTTTGGCAGGATTTGAATCGAGGTTTGTTTGCCCTTTTCCTCGCTTACGATTCATTCTCGTTTTCGTGCTCCGGTGTTCTCGAAAATACTCAACCTCAGACCATCATCCCGACGTACCGTACAATTCCGTAGGGTACAGTACGGTACGATTGTCTACCGGTGTTTTTCGGATGGCCCAATGACTGACTGATGACGATGATAATCCACAAAACCAGAATCTTCGATGTTTTTACAAAATCGAGTAGGCGCGGAGCATGCGTGGCCTGTGACGCTTGGCGCGAAAGCACAACCCGTGACCATAATTCCACGGGATTCGATTCATTTGATTGAAATTAACGTATTGTGGAGTGACTCTTCAAATCAAAGGTAAAAGTACTTTACCGTAAGGTTAAGTTAAGGTTGGAAAGGCGTGCGGCGAGACGAGCAGTTTCTGTTTCTCTTTCCACCAAGCATGATCGTCAACAAAAAAATCATCAAAATCAATCATCCCGCTTGTGGCAACAGCTACGGCAGAAAGCAGAAATAACAGCAAAGAATATACTTGCTGTTATTGGCACGAGGCCCAAGTAAATGGGCACCCACTATTACACATAACTGAGTCAACTACGCACCTTGCTTCGAATATTGCAACACTTTTTAAAACGGAAAATATTCTACTTGTGCTACAAAATGTCTTTTCCCGGTCAATCCTTGCAGCGGGCATGGCACTTAGTTGATGCTAAGAATCAGACCGTCGGTCGCCTCGCCGGGCAAATATCCCAGATTCTCAAGGGAAAACACAAGCCAACCTTCCGACCGAACAAGGATATGGGCGACCATGTTGTGGTGATCAATGCTGAAAAGGTGGGTCGAGCGGAAGGAAACTACTAATTCGTACCGAACACAAAAACATCCATTAGGCGGTATGGTCGATTGAGGGTTGTGTCCGACTACGTTTTTTTTTTCTGGCGGTCTGTTCTGATTTTCTCTACTGCATTCCGAATGGATTTATCTTGCGTGTTTCAACTGAGAATCTCTGCGTTCCTCACTTTCGTTCCGCTTGCAATCCGATCCATCATAACATAACATAACATAACAAAACAAAACAAAACATAAAACACATCACATCATACCATATCAAATCCAATACAACAGGTCCAATTCTCGGGAAAGAAATGGAATGACAAACTCTACCGGTGGCACTCCGGCTATCCCGGTGGCCTCAAGGAGCGTTCAGCGAGGGATATGATGGCCCGCAAGCCGGAAGAGATTTTGAAAAAGGCCGTCCTGGGGATGCTCAAACGAAACAACCTGCGGCACCAGTCCATCGAACCAAGGCTGAGAATCTACTCCGGACCCGATCACCCACACACCGCGCAGCTTCCGCCCGGCACCACAACCCCACTCCCGGCGCACCCCAGGTCCAAGAGCGGAGACTTTCATTTCGGGCTGAGGGAGTACAACTCTCAGCGGACTATCGGAACTGTTCGCAGCGGGAGCGACACAACAACGAAAGGCACCTAACAATAATTAAGGCACGCATTCATTCATTCATCTGAATCCACTATCAATCGTCTATTATCTATCTTCCAGTATCTGTATGTAGTCATTATGTTTGCAACTACAGTCGATCCGCTTCTTTGTTGGTATCAAAGCAAGCCAAAGCAAGCATCGCGCGGAAGATAATCCCTAAGAATGTTCGTTCGTTCGTTTGTTCGTTCTTCTGCTATTGTTTGCGTATGAATTTGTTTCTTACTGCTATTGTCATCCAGTCAAAACTGCATGCCCCAAAAAACAGTGTAGCGAGTGGCAGCTCAATCGAAATCAACTTCCGTAACCCGCCTCGGCAATGACACGATAGACCCCTTGTGCTCCGCAACGTATAGAATCATCATCCCTTCATTACAGCTCCTACTCGAGATGCTAAATGTCGACATAATGCAGAACACAGAACAGACGAATTTCGTCTTCGCTACTACACCAATGATGGTGATAAAAGTTTATGATTCTTCATGGTCGTAATTTGGCCACAATTCCCAGACAAAAATGCGAGATTGAAAATTAGTGTTCCATAAATTTTTATTGACTCCCGATTGAGTCTTTCTTTTCTTATCCCTATCTGGTTATCAAATGCTTAGAAAAGGTTGAGATCGTCGCTGTTCAACGTCTTGCGGGGTCGATTCTTGAGTAGATTCTCGTACTTTCCTCCTGTGTATACGGCACCGAGCTGGGTGATGGAATTGAAACTCGACGACAAATCCTTGATGTAGTAGATGTTCGAATCGGCATACTTCTTGAGCCATGCCTGGCACACCGGAGTGTCAGGATCCAGGATCTGCTTCCCAATCCATCCATAATTGGTGTCAGAGGCCACAGGCTTCTTGCCGGTGGTACTGAGCAACTGTTTCATGTACAAGTTGAAGGTCTTTTCGCTGATAGTATCCTTGGCAAGACGCTGTCCAAATCGATCATCGCGTCCTCCGAAGGAATCAGCAATGTACCATCCATCGTCTGGATCTTCATCGTATTCATCGTTGAGTGCGGCTTGGATATCTTCGTCCGTCAAGCGCTTGTAATCAGACATTCGTCCCATCTTTCCACGTTCGACAAACTTTGGCTTTGTCGATGCCTTCCAGTCTTCAGTGGTTCGGTTCTTTTCGACCAATTGAAGCGTCAGGAGGCCCGAAAGGAGTGCCGTCATTTCTCGCTCGGTCAGACCTGCGTTTCGAAAGGCAGCGAGGACTTCCTTTTGCGATCTGTTGCCGCTTAGGATGTCAAGGGGCAGGGGACTTATTTGGACCTTGCTCTTTTCGACCTCCATGCGTCCCAGCTGAACCGGCAAAACGGGTCCTCCGATCGATTCGATCGATTCTGCCCCGGCAATTGCAACGCAATCAGCAATACTAACGGCAGTCTTTTTCTTCAGGTCCTTCTCGGCCTGGATCAAGACGTTGGCGGCACCCCTGAGGTTTTCCATGTATTCGCTTTCTCCCTTCTCGTTGCTATTCAAGACGGCGTAAATCACACCACCGTTCGGCCCGTACTTTTGTTCCTTGGCATTGAAACTCAAACCGTCCAACAAAGCCAGCTGATAAAAGGCAGGAGCTAGTTTCGGGTTCTGCAGAATAGCTCTTCGGGTACGTTCTCGTACCGTATCGACGGTTCCTACTCGGAGTTCTTGGTCTCCGTACATGGCGGGATCGAAAAAGACCTCGGCGTTTGCGGCAGGGGCGGCTCCGGTGAACGAGGCGACTGCTCCAGTGGCCAACCATCCAAGAGACGACAGACCGAAATTTCTTCGGTCCATCTCGCTGTTGTTAGCGTCTTCATTGACCTGGTTCAGCTGGGTTCTACTCTGCGAGGTAGATGTCTGGAAACCCGTTGACGCTGTGGATTGGAATGCGTCGCAGCTGCCTGCTGTTAACGCTAGAAAGAAGAACACAGACGTAACAAACTTCATTGTAATATGGATAAGGGATGGGTAATTTGCGGTGTCTTCCTTGTCTGAAAAAAGGAGCTACGGAAGTTGTGTTGTATTTGAACAGTTCGTAGGAGCTATGATTTTGGTGTTGGAAGGCGTGAATGAGAGAGAAGACTGAGTGAGTCGTTGCATCGGCCATCAGCAGGATCTCCTGTCACATCCTTGCTACCGTATTTGGTAATCTTCGAGATGTCACCCAAACAAAGAACAAAACGTACCGGTTTCTAGTGAAGTGGATCGACAGCTGTTCTGGGATCGATGAGCTGTGCCACTGACGTTTCGTCTCATCGTATGAAACTATCGTACGAAGTACGAGACCATACGTACGGTACTGTACTGTACGGTCTGTAGTTGGAAATTGGAAATTCATGCGATCGGAATCGGAATCGGAAAAGAGCCTTTTTCAGTATTATCACAGTTACGAAATCGATTCACTGGATTAAAAGTAAGACACTCTCGAATCTCGGTTTTCGGTTTTCTATTCTACTGGCGGTGCGGACTTCTGATGAAAAATCGTCGCTATCGGTTCTGTTCCATGTTGTTCATAGTACAGTACTACTTGGTTCTTGTTGTCCTGGAAGCCAAGAGTTGTCAACAATCAAACCATGGCATCAAGGAGGAAACAGAAGAGATCAAGGATCGCAGTGTAGTGAAGATTGCTAGGCAAAGAACAGATGCAAAATGAACTCTAGAAACAACTACTCCCAGGGGAACCAAAACGAGTGGCAGCAGCAACACGGAGGCCACCACCGACTGCAACACAACCACCAGCAATATAGCAATAGCAATAGCAATATCGTAGACAATGCAAACCGACGACACCAAGGGCAGTTTCAACAGCAATTCCAGCAGCAGCAATGCMAAGAGACCTTGCCTCCCGGTTGGGTAGAAGCTATGGATCCGAATACCGGTAAAACGTACTACTGCAATCCACAAACCGGAGACACAAAATGGGAACGTCCGTCTCTCTCGGTGACGAACACTATCCCGCAGGCGGGACCCACCGAGACAAGTATGCGAGGGCGAGTCTTTTTACAACAGCAGCAAAAACAATTGCCTCCTGGATGGGTCGAAGCGAAGGACCCAAGCAGTGGAAATGTGTACTATTGCAACCCGCAAACCAGGGAAACAAGATGGGAACGCCCCGTTTTCTCTAGTTTGACACCTTCTACAACACCGCCCGTGGAGACTCACAGCAACAGAAGCACTCCTAAAAGTCTTGTTACAGATCCCACGAAGGATTATGGCCACAGGAATCGCGATGCGGCGTCGCGGAGCAGCTATGGTGGTGGCACGAACCAAGCGGCAACACTACCCACAGCAGCAACACCAGCAAGTACAACACCGGAAAGCACGACACAAGCCACACAAAACACCGGAGGCGAAGACGGTTTTGACGAGCTGCTGTCGTTCACCACCGGACAAATAGCCCACCTGATCATAATGCAGCATCGAAAGCAGAAAGAGGAACTGTCGGCTCTGGCGGAAGAGGAACGACAGGTAGACCTGTCGACCATCGTCACGATCAACAAGGACGAGAACCATGCATCGGCGTTGAATGCAAGCAAGTACACCCCCATTCAGCTGTCGATGATCTCGATGCCGTCAGGAAACGAACGTACCGAACCCGGGCGATTGGACGTGCGGATGCATGCCTTGCGTGAAGAACTGAAAAAATTCGGATACCAACCAACGCAGCCGTATGCATAATCGAAGATCGAATCGAATCGGCACAAGTATACGAAGGTTTACCGTGGTATGGTAACAAGGTTGGTGTGCCATTAAGTTGATGCAGATCCTTTCAAATCCATCGATTGCTTCTGAGAGTGAACGCTGTCATTCGTTTGCGTGTCTGAGTGAGAACAGAATGCAGTTATTCTGCGTTTTCCTGAGTGTCTACCACACTGCAGTATCTAGAAGCTGAAGACGTGACGGCACAAACTCACTGACCGGTGAAAAAAGTAAGGTCCTCGGAAATAGTCTATGATCATACGACTTGATAGCCCACTTACGGACTAGCACGAGATAAATTAGTCACAGTTTTGTCTTGAAAAAAAAAAAAAGCTCAAATTTTCCTCTAGTAGGAACCAATGGAAGACTTAGTTGCAGTGTTTAGATCATTAAATTTGAACGGCGTACGGTACATTTGGTAAAGGAATCGATACTATGAAGACAGAAGGAGGACAGATTATCGAGGGCCGTGATGCGACGTTGCAGTGGAGTAACAAACAATGTTGAAATCAAATGAACAATCTGCACCAAGTAGTCCGGTGGCCATGAATACTTTTGAAAACCTACTCAATGAGTTTTTCTAAAACGAGATTGTAAGGCTAAGCTGTTTTTACGTTTATCTATTGTAAAAGAAAGGTGGCGTGGTCCGAGAAGCTAGCCGTTGTTGCGTCTGTAATACGTGCGGTGCTCTACGTTACGTTGTGTGCTCCCAGCACAATTAGCTGCGCTTGGTGTTCCTTCAATGCACTATGAAAAAGTATCATAGCAACACTACAAGAGTTTCTTAAGGCTGTGGGAGACCAATATCGTTCAGGTTGCCCAATTGTTCGTGTACCATGATTCCAAGGATACCCATTTGTGCAGCACGTCCGTTGTTCAATTCAATAGTTCGCTTCTTGGTCTTCCATTCATCAGAGTATTTGTCCCAGCCAAGATCGATGAATCCGTTGCGGTAATCACCAGGGAATTCACTAGATCCCGTCAGGTCTTGCATGGCGAAAGTCAAGGCCCAGACAGTTCCCAGAGTCAAGGGGATCGTTCCTCGGACCTCGGCGGGCAGGTCTTGGATTTCGGTGAGTGCCTTGAAACCATTAGGCATGGCTTCCATACCCGGCAAACGAGCGCCAGAGGCTGTGACCAACCATCCAACGACAGCCAACATGGCGCATCTTCCGTGTCTGATCTCAACTTCTCTCAAGTGATCCATGTATTCTTGGTCGCCTTCCTTCACCAAGCCGAGGGGATCGAAGTATCCGAGCGGGGCCATGGCTCCGAAATCATCGGCGTTTGCACCCGATAAAGCGCTGGAGCTGGACTTGGTGCTAGGGGCTGTAAAGGCCGAAGCCGATACAAGCATGGAAGCGAGGAGGATTGACGTCTTCATGGTCGATTGTCGTTCTTGATGTAATGTGGATAGTGAAGAGGGGGAGAAACTCGAGTCTAGGCAACATGAAAATCCGTGCGTCGATGCAGTACGAGTACGAGTAGCACCCAATACGTTCCGTCCCATCAAAGAAAAACTTCTCACGATCTTTACCCTCGCAGCTTCAACCAATTCCAGTATCATACGTTCATACGAACGTATGTATGTATCGTAACTTAATAGGAGAAAACGAGTCTTGCATGATTGGAACACTTTTAACGTTCAAATACCGCATCAGTGTTCTTTTTGGTCGCGCCATTTACTGAAGTCACGGCTGACACAAGACAGATGACAGTTCCGAATACATTTTAATTAAAGCAGGTTGCGGGACCCCGGGAACAGACGCACAGCCGCTCAAAATTGATTCATGAATCTTTGAAAACAAACTTTGGAGCCTCTTCCAATCTAAGTAATATGAATGATTTTTCCAGCCATTTCCAATCATCAATCAAAAATAGTTGACACAAAAAATTGTTTCCTGTTGTATCTCTCAATCATGCGTTTGAAATCGCGATCATAGGATATCTTCGCCTTCGCGTTGGCCTTGAATTCAGAGAGGAAAAGAACAAATTCTCGTTAATCTCTAGTATTTGTACACACTTCACCGCGTTGCACTTTCAGCCTCAAAAGTTGCTCTTCTTTCCCACAAAAAGTATCTTTGACAACATCAAAGTAACTCCAACTATCTTTCACTAATCAAACCTCTACAGTACATCACCATGTCTACAAAACTTGGAATCAACGGATTTGGACGCATCGGACGTCTTGTCTGCCGTGCCGCCATCGAAAACAAGGACGCCACCGTCGTTGCCGTCAACGATCCTTTCTTGTCGGTCGACTACGCTGCCTACCAATTCAAGTATGACTCTGTCCATGGACGATTCCCTGGTAGTGTTGAGGTTGACGGAGACTGCCTCATCGTCGACGGAACCCGAATCAAGTTCTTTGCCCAGCGTGACCCAACCGAAATTCCTTGGGCCGAGGCAGGTGCCGAAATTGTCTGCGAGTCCACCGGTATCTTCACCACTATCGAGAAGGCCTCCATGCACTTGAAGGGAGGCGCCAAGAAGGTTGTCATCTCTGCTCCTTCGGCAGATGCCCCCATGTTCGTGATGGGAGTCAACAACTCCTCGTATGCCGGCCAGAATATCTTCTCCAACGCCTCGTGCACCACTAACTGTCTTGCGCCTCTTGCAAAGGTATTGAACGACAAGTTTGGAATCGTCGAGGGCCTCATGACCACTATCCACGCCGGAACCGCCAACCAGTTGGTGGTCGACGGACCCGCCAAGGGAGGAAAGGACTGGAGAGCGGGACGTTCTGCCCTCAACAACTCCATCCCCGCATCCACCGGTGCCGCCAAGGCCGTCGGAAAGGTCCTCCCTGAACTCAACGGAAAGCTGACCGGTATGGCCATCCGTGTAAGTATAGAGGCGCATGTCTTTATTTCGAGGTGAATACAAATATTGAACAGAATCACATCTCACCCAAATTGCTGCACTTTCACAAACGTACTGCTCGATACTACCACAGATCCCTACCGCCGATGTTTCAATTGTCGATTTGACCTTCCGAACCGAAAAGGCCGCCACCAAGGAAGAAATTCTTGGCGCCCTTAAGGAAGCCTCCGAAGGTGACATGAAGGGAATTCTTGGATACACCGAAGAGAAACTCGTCTCGAGCGATTTCATCCACGATTCGGCCTCGTCCACCGTCGATGCCGGTGCCTGCATCTTCCTCAACGACAACTTCCACAAGGTCATTTCGTGGTACGACAACGAATGGGGATACTCGAACCGTTTGGTCGATCTGGCTGTCTACACCACAAATGCCTAAATTTGGAGCCGAAGATCGCAAGACCATCGTTTTTCTGACGCCCCAGCATTCAGTATTGCAACGTTGAAGTTGAGATGAGGATTAGGAAAATATAGAAAGTTTGTGCACTGTTTTATTTACAAACATAATCTAAAATCTATTACTAATCGCGGTTTCTGCGGCACACACATCATAGAAGCATATCGAATACAAAAAGAGAAATCGTAATATCTATTTGACCTTAGTATTGCATTGAGAACATTTGAATGCATCCGCACGACGATGGATTACAGACAGGACTATGATGAATACTGGGACCCTGAGCAGTACAATACTCAAAATCAAAGCCAACAACATGATTTGAAACAGCTAATATGAATTAAGGGCTTTGTGAATCGTGTTCTTTGGAATAGCAACTAAATGGAGTTGTATTTGATCGAAATGCAGATTTGTTAGTCTTTCAGTGAGCAATTGATGTAAACTTATCAACTTCAGATGTCAAAAGAAAGCACCAGATAGCCCATGGTCGGAACCTCACCAGAAACTTGAGCAACATAGAATTATCTCTCATTCTGTTCCGGCAGATTAAAATCTAGTAGTTCCTATCGAATAAAAAATTGCTGAATATTCAGTCAGTGATCGTAACGACAATAAGGACAAACACGTGACATGGAGAAGAAACATCGCTTCTTCAGACAATTTGTCTTCATTTGTCCCTTTGAAAAGAGAAATAATTAGGTCTATTTACGTGATATTTATTTTGTTTGTTTAACTTGTGCCCAAATTGAAAAGTTGTTAGCTACTGGCATGTGTCACTCTATGTTCCAGATCGTCCAACTGGGTAATCCCTTGCTCCTTCGCAAGTCCCGCATACACACTTGACTTATCTTTGAGCAAGTCTTCTGGGTGACCTTCTTCAACTATCTTCCCCTTGTCCAAAACAATAACTCTATTGACGTCCAGAGATCGAATCACGCCCAGTCGATGAGTTACCATCACCATGCTTTTCGTTTGTTTCATTGCCGTACGAAGTGATTGGACAACTTTCTTCTCGCTCTCGGAGTCAAGCGCCGCTGTTGGTTCATCCAACAGCAACACCTGAGGTTCTCGGATGGTAGCCCTAGCGATGGCTACTCGCTGGCGTTGTCCACCCGATAACGATCGACCTCCCTCGCCAATTCGCGTGTCTAGGTCAAGCCCAAGACCGTTCCCCGGAGACACATCTAGACCGGCTAGATTGAGACAATTGGATACCAAGGTTCGCCACCTTGCATTGTAAACAGCTTCACCTGTCTCGGGGTCAATGTCGTCTTTGTCGATTCCATACAAGACGTTCTCCATCAAACTCATTGGAAAGACGTGGGGTTCTTGTTCCACAAGGGAAACATGCGATGCTGTTTCGGAACGAGTTAGACTACGAAGATCTTCTCCGTCTAATTCAATAACACCGCTGGAAGGGTCATAGAAACGTAACATTGTCCTGAGCATGGAAGATTTTCCAGATCCACTTCTTCCTACCAGAGCCACTCGATCACCCGAATAGATGTTGGTGGTCACTCCAGACAGTGCAGGGCGATCCATGGCATCGTATTCAAGAGTCACATCTTTCATGGCAATGACTGGTCTCTGAGTCGATATGCCTATGCTCTCTGACTTTGTTTCCACTGCGTCATCAGCGCCATTATTGGTACCATCCATAGGAATCGGATCATGGATTGCCGGAACACGCTTAATCAAATCGAAGACGCTGCTAGAAGCTCCTACTGCCTGTTGGATTTTGGCCCATTGGTCTCCGACTTCATTAGAAGATTCCAAGACGAAACCAGTGTAAAACATGAATGTGGTCAAGTCAGTTGCTGCTAATCCACCCGCTTTGCCCACTGTCCAACAGGCTACTAATAAAGCAACCTGTAGCACTGACTGCAACGTATCACTCAGAAATTTGTGGGATCCATATGCCCATGCCTGAACTTCTTCCAACTCCAAGGCCGAAAATTGGGCCGATTCGAACTTATCGGACTCGATATCTACTCCATCAAATGCTCTGATAGTTTCGGACATCGTGAAAGAAGTTTCCGCGACGGCTGTAGCGTCTGCGAATGTGTCTTGAACTTTTTCTGCCAGGTCACGAGCAAGGTCACCATAGATGGCCGACAAAAGGGCGACTAGCAAAATCCCCGAAAAAGTATACATTGATAGCCGAGGAGAAATTCTCAGCAAATAGACGGATCCAAAAACAAACTGTGCAAACTGTCTCAGCACAACATTTATGTGGTAGGAAATGACTTGTCCGATTTTGTTGACATCGGAGTTGAGTCGACTAAGCAAGTAACCTGTTTCGTTGGTATCGAAAAAGGCAGCCTCTTGTAAAAGTAGGCTACGATGAAGCTTCACGCGGATGTTGTAATTTGCACGACATCCTGAAAGCAATAAATGGGAGATGAAAGTGACAAACAGCACAGAAAATCCATTTGTGAGTAACCTTCGTATTGTCGGTTCCCGAAAGGAGTGTAATCCTTCTCTTTGCTCTAGACTCAAAAAAATAGCAAGTGCTCTTCCATGATCATTGTCATTCTATTTTTTATAACAGAGAGAAACAAAGTTCAATGATACTATCATTGAATACTCGACGTACCTCCAATCCAAAAGAGCGACCCACGTATTCCAGTAAATAAGCCTGCCAGTACACTCGAAACACCTAATCCAATAAGGGCTTCAGCAAGTTGGGCTCTCGTGGCGGTGAGAGTAGCAACGCATTGAATACACTTGCCCCAGTAAGATGGTACAATGGATGTCATGAACGCTCCTAGGAGCAGAAATCCAAAGGATGGAACTACGAAGGATGTCGTGTAACCCGCCAAGGTCATGACGTTTTTTCGTTGTTCGTTCATCTTTGCCCACATGTTTTCTTCCGTCTTTGGTTTTCTATTTAGTCGTAGCAATCGTTGAATCACGTTTCTTGTGTCTCCGACATCTGCATTCTTGAGCGGTTTTTCCCAAAAATGGTTGACCAAGAATCGGGCATAAAAAACTAGCGATCCAGAAATCGATTCTGTCTTGGGCTCGATTTTGTTGGCCGTTAGGTACGGATCGTAGTAGTCCATGCAGGTATCCGAGGCTAGAGATGTATGTATGCTACGTTCATAGCTTCTGGCTCCGATGATATTCGTACTTCTCTTCAAAATTGATTGTCTCCTTTGCAGTGTTGGTGCTGTTATTGATTTTGTCTTACAGGTGCTACTTGCAAAAGAATGTGCCGAATGAAATACCGACAGGATCAATACCGCGAAAAACAAACACCCTTGCCCTATCCCCTGTTTCCTTCTCCTGTTGTGATGATTTGAAGACTGCAAAGGCATCAGAGATGATGTCGTGCGGAGAGATGACGACTCGTTCATTCTTCTTTGCCAGTACGAGTTTGTTTTGTTTCTGTAGGTGTCTCGTTAATAACGTTGGCGGTCAACCACTTGCTTACCGAATTGCATCAAATATGGTTATTGGTACAACCTTTCTTTTTCATCGGCTGTGGCGGATGTCGTTGTAGCAGAGTAATCGAAAGGATGATTTGTGTTGGGTGATGCGTTGATGAGTGACAAGTATGGTACGCGTAGTCCGTGATGTGTGAGTTGTTTCTGTTCGCGCTTTACCTCCCGTACGGTACGTACGGTAGTCAGTGACCAGAGATTTTTTCTGTTCTAATTTTCCAGAAGATGACGATGATGCGCGTGTTTTTCTTCTTAACATGATTATTATTTAGTTTCTTTCTCCTTCGTGGCCACTATCAGTTCCTCGAGTTTTTCTTGACGTGAACTGTAGACAGAAGTACGGCTAGACCGTTGATAAAATGAAGCGTTGCAGAAAAACGCAAGGTGAGATTTTCAAACTAACTGCAATAGGTACTAATACGAAGTACGTAGTCTACGTATCGTATGATTTGATTGATACAACAGGCAACAGGCAACAGGGACGATCATCATTGAAGATTTTACCACGTACCTTTGCTACTAGAACCGTTACTAGAATGGAACCGGCGCTGCTTAACACACAAAATGAAGCATATGCGTCGCAGTCCCGGGAGCCTCCAAGAAACTATCGCTACCAGAATTGCTACCATCTTGCAACCAGAATTGCTACCATCTGGTAGCAATCTTGTAGCAATCCGTTAGCAATCTGCGAGCATTTGTAGCCACAATCTGGTAGCTTGTTTTCCTACCATAAATATTTTCTATGATAATTAGATTCTCGTATCCCCCTCCAAAGTTTCAGTCCTCGTAAACAATATTGGTATTGGTCGTGAATCGTTTGAATGAGTCATACTTAAGAGGGGGCACATCCCAAATCCTATTGTACAGGTACTCGTAACTACCGGTACTTGTACCTGATGCTGTATTTTGCTGGAAAACTTGGTTTCTTCTTCCCGTTCTGCTTTCGTACGTTATACGGGTACTCGACCGTACGTAGTTTCGGACTTGAAAACAAGAACTCAATTATCCTTATCCCTAGTTATGTCATCTGATTGATGATCAAGTTGCAAAAGTGTCAAAAAAGTTAAAATTCTGTACCGGAAGTGAAGTACAAACTCGTAGTACATACTCGTACTCTTTTTCCTTTTTCCTTCTTTTTTGATGTTTTTTCGCCTCGGTCTTGAAAGTACGGCATGTTTATCTTGAATAACTGAACCGTGCTTGCAGTAACACTAGGACGAAGCAAGCGAAAGAGCAAACGAAGGATTGTGCCCAAAAACTATTGAAAGCACCGCCGGAACGAAATTGTCTCTAAAATGAACCTAACCCGGCAACATCGTCAGAATCCTCGCAACAAGAACGAGCACAAAAATGATCTCAACGTTTGGAATGGAACCGCTTTGTTAGTGGCCGATTGTTTGGGAACCGGGGTGAGTAAGATCATTCAATGATTGTTCTCTCAATTTTGGCTTTCCTCTCTGCCGTCGATTTGCTGCTGTATTTAATCACATCATAATCCTAACATTTGATGTAATATTTGTGCACTTAATTTTGTACTTTTGTACATTTCACAGCTATTGGCATTACCTCACGATGTCAAAGTCTTAGGCACGACTTTTGGGTTGTCATTTTTAATTGCCAATCTACCCATAAACTATTTTGCCGGCGTCATTTTGAGCTACTCAGCAGAAAAAGTAGAACAGAACTGCAGCGATAGCACTAGTAGTGATGATTCTATTGGGGACCAACAAACGGCAATGAAGGCAACGATAGAGACTGCATTGACTACTGCTAGTGAACACGACAATTACCGAACGCTGGAAACGTCTATTGACGAAGACAGAGAACAACAATACAATATCAAATGTGAAACACCCGGTGATGTCGCAACGTTTGATTTCGTGGGAATGGCATCCGCGATTTTCAATGATCCAGGAACAACACGATTGGTCATGCTTCTCTATTACGTCAATATATTCTTGGTCTTGGGAAATTACATTCTTGTTATGAGCCATGCCGTTATTGCTCTCTTCGATAGCGGTGGAAATGGTGGCGGGGTGCTGTCGTGCGTGCCGATTGCTGGGCTTTTCGCGTCGACTTTGATGTTTGCTGTCTGTCAATTGAGCACAATGGCCAACTTGGGAAGAACAGCTTCGAATGTTTCTCTCTCGGCGCTGGGAGTTGTCCTTCTCCAGTGTTTGTACTTTTCGCGAACCAACACCAACGCCAACGACGGATCCGATAATTTTGAAGGGAATGCAGTGGGTTTGCGTTTGCTTCTGCGGCAGATGTCGGCATGTGGTTCGATCGGTTTTGCCGTCGGATCGCAGAAGCTGTTCCTGAACATTCGCCACGAGTTCGCGAACCGAAGTGATGCTCCCAAAAGCCTCGGGATGGCCCTGGCAACCTTTGGCAGTGTGTATGTCTTCATCGTGCTGGCAGCGGGAGAAAATCCCCCCGGGATGCTCTTCGACGCGATTCCCCGCGGAACCATCCACCGACAGGCAGCGGGCCTGTTTTTGTGGATCCATGTCGTGGTCAGCTACGCCATCAACAGCCAGGCCATATGCGCGTCGATGGACCGCAATTTCTTCGGTGGTTGGGAACCGGTCCTGACCTGGTCGGACCGGCGCCGATGGACGGCCCTGACGGCCTTTATGGCGTCTTCGGCATTTTTCGTTGCCAACGCCGTGCCTTTTTTCAAAGACCTGGTGGCCTTTTGCGGTGCCCTAACGTCCGTCCCGCTGACCTTGTTGCTGCCGGCCGTCTTCTATCGGCACGCCTGCGAGAACGTAGCGGTCTGGCTTCCCCCACTGGACTGGGAAGCTTTGGTTGCCTGTCGGAGTTGTGCATCGTATGCATTGCTGGTGTTTTCGAGTCTCTTCATGGTGCTGGCGACACTCGGTTCCGTGTACTCCATCTTGTCGGATTGGGAGCATCGAACGGGAGGATTTTTTTCGTGCCAGTGATTGGTTCGATTGACCCCTCTCCCACAGACGATGGAGGCCTAGAGCCTTGTGTTGTTTAAAGATGTAATCAATCCTAAGAACTTTTGCATTGGAATTTTTGTAGAAGTCGAGGAATCCAGATTAGCGCGTCTTTGGTTTCGAGCTATCGTCAAACCAATCGTCAAACCAAATCTATGAAATACGGCAGGAACGAAGTAAAGTACAACAATAAATGAATGATTATTCGAAAGTGCGTGTTTCGTGTTTTTTACTATACGATTCCCGCCACCCGGAGGTCCTCCGGTGGCTCGTCGTCGGTGTTGTTCATGCTTACCAGTTCAAAGCCGGCGTTCTTCCCGAGGCCCTTCAGTTTGGCGAGTCTGCTCGCGATCGTCCCGCCTCTCCTCCGGCTCTGCTTTGGTGGCACGAGATCGAAGCGATCGTTCGGCAGTAGCTTCATTCCGTTCAGCGTGACCAGGAGCATGATGCCCACGTCGGAAGCAATGGCGTAGAGCAGGGTCATCTTGCCCGCGAGCGTTAGGGAGACGACCGCGAATTTTGCCGCGAAGCTAATGACAATGTTTTCCTTCACGGTTTTCAGAACCCGCTGTCCCATCTTGATGACGTACGGGAGTTTCGTCAGGTTGGAATCCATCAGCGTGACGTCGCTCATTTCCAGGGCCATCGCGGCCCCCTCTCCCATGGAAACACCAATGTCCACCGCGGCGAGCGCGGGGGCATCGTTGACCCCGTCTCCGCAGAAGAGAACGTACTTCTTCTTCCGGCACAACCCGAACTTGGAGGGTTCCGGCCGCCGCAGCCCCTCGACGAACCGGAGCTTGTCTTCCGGGAGCAACCGGCTCTGCACCCGGTGGCCGGGGATTCCAACCTCTTTCGACACCGCGCGCGCCGTGGTATCGCTGTCGCCGGTGCACATGTACGTCTCGATCAGGGCTTCCTTGAGCTCGTCCAGGGCATCCCCGGCCTCCTCCCGAACCGAATCCTTCGCACAGAACATCCCGATGATGCCGTCGTTCTCGATGCCGATGAAGCCCACCGTTCCCCCCGTGTCGTCCCACTCCTCGATGGCGTCCTTGTCCTCGGACGAGAGCCCGCGGAGCATGCCCAGCCGCTCGAAAAGCCTCTGGTTTCCCACGTAGACCTGGAGCTTGCCGTCGACCCTGGCCGTGATTCCCTCTCCCTTTAGGATCTTGTGGTCGGAGACCGCCGTCTGCTTCGGCGTTCGCACCCCCTCGCTCTTCGCTGCACGCACCAGAGAGGCCGCGATCGGGTGGCTGGCCCGGTCCTGCACCAGCGAGAGGAGCTCGAGCATCTGCCGCCTCGTCCTGGACCTGCCGACGACCTCCAGGTGGGTCACGGAGAACTGCCCGCGGGTCAGGGTCCCGGTCTTGTCAAAGACGACGCGGTCCACGCTGCCCATGGCCTCGAGCTTGGCGCCCCCCTTGACGATCACCCCCCGCTTCGCCGTGGCCGCGAGGCCGGCGGCGTACGTCACGGGCGTGCTGATGGTAAGGGCGCACGGGCAGGCAATCACGACGATGATGAGCCCCCTCAGGGTCCACATGCGGCCGGTCTCCGTTCCGAAATACCACGGAATCGTGCACATGATCGCCGCGGCGCCCACCACAAAGGGGGTGTACGACCGCGCGAAGGAATCCACCATCATCTCGGTGGGCGATCGGTTCGATTGGGCTTCTTCCACGAGGCGGATCAGCCTCGACACGGCCGAGTCTTCCGCGGTGGTCTTGGTCCTGACCACCAGCTGGGTCTGGCCGATGTTGATGGTGCCCCCGCTCACCTCGTCCCCGACGGTCTTGTGCACCGGGGTGGACTCCCCCGTCAGGCTGGATTCGTCGACGGACGTGCTGCCCTCGACGACGATCCCGTCGGCCGCGATCTTGTCGCCGGTCCGGACCGAGATCGTGGACCCGGGGGGCAGCCGGTCGGCCGGGACCACGACGATTTCCTTCGATACCGGGTGGATGGCGTTCGCGTGGTCCGGCCGCAGGGCACATATCTCTCCGAGGGCCCTGCGGGCCTTCCGGGCGGCCCGGGCCTCCAGGAACTCGGACACCGCAAACAGAAAGGAGACCGAGGCCGCCTCGTCGAATTCCCCCAGGAGCAGCGCGCCCAGGGCCGCCGTCACCATCATGCAGTTGGCATCGAACTGGCGTCGTCTCAGGGTTCGGTAGGCCTTGACCAGGATGGGCGGCAGACCGAAGAACACCGAGGCCAGGCCAAAGTACTTGAATCGATCCCTGGGAACAATCACGAAACGAAGCGATCGAGGAGGACACCGGGGGTGAGAAAGAGTGAACGAAAAAAAAAGAACGAACGAACGAACGAACGAACGAACCAACCAATCAACAAACGAACCAACAAATTGCGTGCGGGATGTCGGTTTGCGCTCCGGTGGGAGGGTGTGTTGTCCAGCCCACAACCCAACCCAACCCGGAGCTGCGCCGAGACGGCTCCCTCAAACTCACATGGTCCCAAGGATGCCGACCATGCTCAGGATCCAAAAGACGCCGCTCAGCCAGACGTTGGCGTGGTGGCTCTTCATCCGGGCCAGGCAGCCCCCCTCCGGGAGCGAGGCCGGCCCGTTCGGGTCCTCGTCCTCGGACGGCAGGTAGAGGCCGGCCTCCCCCCCGTCGAGAGAGATCCTGGCCCCCAACGGGAAGGGGGGGGACCCGTCCCTCTTGCGGTGGTTGGAGTTGCCCGCGTGCTCCTCCAAAAAGTCCCTGATTTCCCGGGCCGACACCAGGTTCGGGTCGTGCTCGACCTTGATGGTTTCGGACACCGCGCTCGGGTAGACCGCCCGGACCTGGAAGCGGAGAAAGGCCTTGGAAACGGCGGTCTCGATGGCCCGGACCTGGTGGCGCCTCGTGAGCCCCCCGAGGGCGAGGGTTGATTCCACGTAGTTCGATTTCCCGATCCGGTCGAGGAACTCGGCGACGGCCGCGTCGTTGCTCGGGGAGGCCGTGCCGTTCTCGGTGTGTGTCCCGCTGCCTGTGCTGTTGACGTTGACGCCGGTGTTCCTGTTGCCGGTCGCAAACCGGACCGAGGATGCGCCGTCCCGGACGATCCGGGCGGGGAATCCCTGCCCGGTGAGGGTCTTGGCGATGGCCGGGGCGTGGATGACCTTGCAGTTGTGCTGTATGTAGACCACCTTGGTGGTGAGGTTGACGTTGACCACGGCGACGCCCTTGAGCGGCTTGACGATCTTGCGAATGGCGGGKATTTCCGAGGCGCAGCACACGCCCTCCACGTCAAAGGACGACCGGACCCAGCAGAATTCCTCGGCTTTGGTAAGGGCCCGGCCGGGAGCCGTCGCCGCCCTTGCATCCCCGTTGGAAGCAGCGGTCGTGGTGGTCGTGGCAGTTGCAGTTCCAGTTGCAGTTCCGGTTGCAGCCACCGTCCTCGTCACCGGAACCGAGGCAAAGTAGCCCGCCTTTTCCAGCGCGTGCCGCATGGATTCGGCGTGGACCGATGCGTCGTGGCCGACGAAAATCTCGTCGGGATCGGCGGACCCCGAGGGGGGCACCCGCACGCTCCGGACCCCCGGGATCGCCGAGAGGAGGGACCGGAGCACCAGCGAGCTGCTCTCGAAGGCCCTGCGCAAGGCCGCTTCGGAGGTCTCGCCCCCGGCCGCGGAAAGGTCTCCCCGCCTCTCGGCAGGGGCCAGCCGAAAGGCCGTCTCCAGGAGGGCTCGGTCCTCGCCCCCGTTTCCGTTTTCCGTCGGGAGCGCTCCGCCCTTGGTCGTTGCCCCCGAGCGGGAGGAGAAGGAGTCCGTGTCCGAGGAGGTCTCGCCGGCCTCGTCGTCGCAGGCTCCGCACCACATCGCGCCGGGGGGAAAGGCCGTTCCCCCGGGGAGCTTCGGAAGGGGCGGCGCAACGGGCGACCAAACGGGTGGTGCCGAGGGGCCCCTCCGCCTCACGGGCATGGGTTCGGTTTGTAGTTCGGCTTCGGCTTCGATTGGACCCGTGCCCGCGTTGTGATTGCTGCTGCTGCTGCTGCTGCTACTGCTGCCGACTCCTTCTTCCAGGTCCAGGAGTGGTTCTTGTTCGAAAGGGCGGTCGTCCTTGTCTTCGTCGATGACCTGGCAGAACGTAAAATCTTCCATCAACCAATTCTCCTTGATGAACTCTTTCTTGGCGTGCGCCATGGCAATGTCTCTCTGTCTGTCTGTCTGCTKGTCTCGGTGTTTGTTGTTTGTTGTTTGTCGTTTGTCGTTTGTTGTCGTTGGTGTGATGAAACTCCGGTGGGTCTGCCGCGGTTGTTGTGCTTCTTGTGCTTTTGCTTGCGGTTGTGCTTTTGCTTTTGCTTGTAGCGATGCCGTTCTTTCGTGACGCTACMGAAAACTCGTTCCCTTGCGTCCGGTGGTGGCGTTGGATTGTGTCCCGGGCCAACGGTCGGCACCTAGCTTCGGAGTTGGTTGCTTTCGATCGGCTCGGCTCGGCTCAACTCAACTCAACTCAACTCAACTCAACTCAACTCAACTCAACTCAAATCGATTCGAATGCCCCGGCGGGTCACAACCGAACAAAGCCCTCTGGATGGTATCACCGTACAATTATTGCGTGCGGCATGGGCGGCGATTCGCACGGGGGAGTGTGGAGTGGGTAGTACCGTCGTAGCAGAGGGTCTTGGTCGTTCCACAAGAAGTTTCTGTTTCGCCTCTGGAACGAAGGACGCCCAGAAAAAAACGGCCTATTTTTTCACTCTGGAGGGAAAGTGGGTGTGCGAGAACGAGTACGCACCGTACGGTACTGTACCGTACGGACTGTACCGTACGGTACGGTACGTTCGCATGTCAGAAACTGCACGGAGGGGGGTTTCGCGGTTTCGATCATTCGATTCGATCAACTCCAGTTACGAGTTACAGTACGGTAGTACCAGTTAGCTGCGACACACGTAACAAGTCAAGGGCGTCTGTTAATTGATTGTCGACGCAAGAGAGTTTGGCACGAACCGAATACGTCACGGTATGCTACTACCTTGTACGAATGAAGTACGAGTACCATACTCGTACTTTTTTTTAAATGGCCTAAACCTGGAGTCCAATAATTTGACCCATTCGATCCAAATCGAATCGGAACCGAGAGGAGGCGATGCCTTGCTTGATACTGTACGGTATGGTGCCTCTATCTCGAGCGACTGCCGTAGCGTAGGTACGGTCTAAATTTATGACCCCTGCGGTACCCTACGTACTCGTACCGCTACGCAAGTACTGGTACCAGGTAGACGACCGATGACTCCATCCCCCTAGCCTAGCTGCTACGTAGTAGATACTACGAGTACGTACGTACCCTCCTTGAAAGAAGTTCGAAGCGAGTCGGCGGGGTCGTTCGAGAATTCGTTCCGCACTGCCGGTACCGTACAAGGTGGTGCTACTGTATGCTTGTACCGTACGTACGGTGGTACCAACCGTACCGTACCGTACCGTACCGCACGGAAACCGAAGAACCACATGCCTCCCTGCCTCCCTCTCCCGCACAGAGCCGGTTTTTGTCCCCGCCGACACGGAGCAAGAGACCGCAGCTGTCGCCGGGAGCAACCGCCACAGCTTCTGCTTGCTCGTGTGTTGCGCCGAAGGGACMATCGCAACGCAGCGCATCGCATCGCAACACAGCGCACAACACAGGGACGCAACGAACAAAGACACCCGCGGGGCACACGAAGAGACACGGCCATACCGAACACCCGAGGAAGAACCGGGGGAACCTAACATGAAGGAATCGGGCCGGAGAGGCTAGAGGAGAAGAAACAGAAGCGAGGACCGAATCCAATCCGATCCAGTCGCGGCGCTCCATAGCCGGCTTGCCTGCGGGACGGCAAGAATATGGCTCGTTTCCGAGACCTTCGGGTCGGCGAAAGCGGCTGCAGCGACGACGAGTTCTTCTGCCCGCAGCAAGACCGGGACGATCTCGCGGACTTTGAGTTGTCCGGCGGAGACGGAGGCCCATTCGACGCCTGCGGAGGCATCGACCTCGGTGGCAGCGAAAGGGACAGCGACGGCGGCGGCGAAGGCGGCGTGATCGTCCTGGACATGGACGATCCCGGCGGCCATGGCGACAGCAACCGAGAGATCAACGGGGACAGAGACAACAAGAGCAACACCAACACCAACAACAACAGCAACAGCAACACCAACACCACCTGCAGCAACAACACCAACAGCGACCCGAACCCAAAGGTGGTGGTCGCATCCGCGGTGGGCCCGAGCGGGCGCGGGCCCGGGGGCACCCCCGGGTGGGGGGAGCGAACCGGCGGGGCGGAACGAACGGTCGCCGTTGCGGCGTTCGATGCTTCGGCCGATCCTGCCTCCCGCAGCGACAAGGGCGCGCAAGGGCCAACGGAACGCCCCCGGACCGGGGCGGGACCGAGCCCGGAGGGGCGCAGCGCGTCGGAGGCGATCCACATCGACGACGACGAACACGACGACGAACACGACCACAACGACGGTGCCGGCGGCGGTGCGAACGACGGTGCCCGGGCCGGGGCCGCCGATCCGGCGGGGGCCTTCGGATCCTCCACCGGCTCTCGTGCCCCGGCGGTTCGATCCGCGGTCGCGGACCCACCCAGCGGGAGGCGCACGGGCAAACGCAAACCCAACCGAGGGGCGCCGGGCGAGGCAACCCGCGGCGGCGGGGCCATCCGTGGAATCCCCTCTTTGGCGATGGGAATGGCGATGGCCTCCCCCGCCGAGGTGACCGATCTGACGGCCGACGACGATTTCGACGACGATTTCGAGGTCTTTGACCTGACGGGGGAACGAAGTGGCGGCGACGATGGCGATGGCGATGGCGATGGCGAAGACGCACACGGTTGTGCTCCGGGCGAGGGAATCCCTCGTTCCACCCGGAACCAGGGCCCGAGCGAAGGGAGCCGCGGGGCAGCCCTCCCTTGCCGAGGGGGGACCGCCGGCGAAAGGCCGGGCAGACCCGCGGGAGGTGCCGAAGCGAAACCCCCACCCGGGGGCGAACCGGGGGTCTCCCGCCAGCACCCCGGGCCGGAAGCCAGCGCACACGAATCCTCGTCCGCGGACGGCGCCCACGCAAGAACGACGCAACCACAAGGATTGTTCCGAGACCGAGCCACGGGTTTGGAAGCGGTGGATGCGCCTCCCGGTGTCACCGACGCACCCGCATCGGCCCGGGTGGAAGCCGGGGACCGCGCATCGAACGTAAAGAGGAACGAAGACAAGATTGCCTCGTTTCTAGAAGCCGTCCACGGGTTTCCGACACCGCAACACCCGTACATCGAAACCACGGGCGCAGGCGCGATCGAATGCATCGAGATCGAAGACGACGACAAAGGCCCGTGCGAGGACGAGGACGCCAAGCGGAAACCCGAGAGGAACACGTTTCCGACTCCGGGAGAGGCCGGGGCCACCGCAAGGAAACCCCTTCGGACCACCAACCCGAGGCCTCGCTTCAAGCCCCAGAAACCACACAAGCGGGCCAAAAAGACCGGGAAGGACCCGGCCGCGCCCGGGGAAGCCCCCCCCCCTCCGGAACGCATTCCCCCTTGGGGGGACCGCCCCCGGGCCGGGCCGGCCGCGGAAGAACAGCCCCCGCGGCCCTTCGAGGACCGGTTTGTCTTCCACCCCTCCAACAACGCGAGGACCAAGCCGGAAGACGACTACCGGAACAGTTTTCTCGGCATGACCATCGAGGACGCCCGGAAGGAGCAGGAGCGCCTCCTCGAGAGAGCGGCCGCCCGCCTCCGGATCAAGGCGTCCTTCCGCGTTGCCTCCAGGCACGGGGTCTCGCGCAGGACGCAGCCCGCCGCCCGGACCTTTGGGGGGCTCGTCCGGGACGTCCACCTCCGGTTTTCGAACCACTGGACGTACCGGAACCACTATTCCCGGCTGGGCCTGCCCCCGGACGCCACCGAGTCGATGATCAAGTCACAGTACCGGCGCCTGGCCAGGGTCTACCACCCGGATCGGAACATCGGAAAAGCGGACACCAAGCACAAGTTCCAGGCCATCACCGAGGCCTACAACCACCTCATACAATCGTAGCGACGAATGCGGTGGGGTTCGGACGGATTCGTTCCACAAATTTTCTGGCCCTCGTAAAACTAGATTAGATTGTTCCATTAGATTTCTCTCAAAACGGCTCTTCCTTCCCAAACATTGAATGCTAGTTGGACCCAACCAATTCGAAACTGGAACGCCTGGCTTGAGTACTCGTATTGTTAGTGGAAAGATAGCGGGATCAAAAAGTTACACCCGATGTGGGGATTGAACCCACGACCACACGGTTAAAAGCCGAGCGCTCTTCCAACTGAGCTAACCGGGTAGTTGTGCTGCAAACGCAAGCGCAAAATTAGGTATAAGATTTGACTTAGCTCCGTTCAGGTATACAAACTGTGTTAAGAGTAGATGAGATACTGTACACTTTATTCCACCCAAGCACGATTGTAAACAACGTTCTTCACTACAAGATTTGATCTCTTTCCTACCGTGCGGTTCGACGCCACGCACGTTAACATTATTTATTTCTTACTTCGCACAGGTACATACAGTACTACCGTACTGCATTCAATTTCCGTACGTACGGTACAGTATTGTACTGTATCAAGAAACCAAAAACCCAAAACCTGAACTAGTTTTTAGTTTTTCGATATTTTACAACTTCCGTCGATGGGTCTCGGTCCTTAAAACGAGAACTGGAACTTTCAGCATGAAAATAATTTAAACTGGAACTTTTTTCGGAAGGCTGTTGTAAAATTAATTTAAATCATCCCCTCCCGTAATATAAACTTACTTAGAGGCCCTGAGCGAATGAAAATACTGTTTTGAACAACTTTTCCTCAAATTCACCAAAATAAACAGTAATTTCATTCCTTCAGCACGCGCTGGCAAANATAAACAGTAATTTCATTCCTTCAGCACGCGCTGGCAAATAAGTGGACCCGTATGGCCAAATTACGGCAGCTCAAATTCACCAAAATAAACAGTATTTTCATTCGCTCAAAGGCTCCAGTCTTCTTATTTTGGTGAATTTGAGCTGCCGTAATAGGAGCCTGTGCTGAAATTACTTAATGGTCCAGTTATTTTGCCAGCGCCCGTGCTGAAGGAATGAAATTACTGTTTATTTTGCTGAATTTGMGCTGAAGGAATGAAATGACTGTTTATTTTGGTGAATTTGAGCTGCMGAAGCTGCCGTAAGAAAACAAGAAATTAKGAAAAGTTGTTCTAAGTAAGTTTATATTGTCTATAAGTAAGTTTATATTTAATTTTATAACAGCCTTCCGAAAAAAGTTCCAGTTTAAATTATTTTCATGCTGAAAGTTCCAGTTCTCGTTTTAAGGACCCGATGGGTCTCACGTCATTCTGGAAATCGAAACACGGAAGAACCGTAGGTACCTGTATCGGTGAGATGATACAAAAAATAGTAGGATACCCTGTCTCCTCTGGACAATCTTCGTTTCCACTTTGTACAATATCGATAATAGATAACCAGCAACGCAATGACAGACGGTAGCGTGGCATCAGACCCGGTGTACGATTTGGTTGTGGTCGGCGGAGGCGTGGTTGGATTGGCGTGTTTGCGTGCCGCTACGCTGCGGGGCTGGAAATGCGCACTGGTGGAAGGCGAGGTGGATTTGCTCTCCCACGCAAGCGGGGGGAATAGCGGCATCGTTTGCACCGGCGTCGACACGAGACCCGGAACCCTAGAGAGAGCCCTGATTCGAGACTCCGTCTCGGAGTTTCGCACCTATTGCCAGAGCCACAATGTTCCGATGCGGCCGTGCGGATCTCTGGTGTGTTTGTTCCCCTGGGACGTGACCTCCAACGAAAAAGACGGAGCAGATAACATTGCCAACGATAACGACTGCACGAACGGAGAAACCGGAACCCACCATCTTTTTCCACTTGAGAAAGTGTTGAAAGAATCTCACATAGCGGGAGATAGTGGCGCAGCATTGTTCGGTAATGGGCAGAAAGTTCTGCTCGAAAAAGAAAAAAATGTATCGCCCAGTTTAATGGGTGCTGTGCATATTCCTGGTGAAATAGTAGTTGATTCGTGGGTGTATTCGATATCTCTCGCGGCACACGCGTTAGAAAATGGTGCACAGATTTACACAAATTTCAGGGTAACTTCCATAAAAAGAGAAGAGATAGGAGACCAAGATGATGGCAACGATCGAACATGGAAAGTCAGCCGGGAGTGCGGAAACGAACCGAGCGATGTTCCTACAGTAATCCGGGGCAAAGCTATCTTGAATGCAACCGGAAACTGGTCTGATGCAACGGAGAAAGTAGCGTTCGGAAGCTCCGAATGGGTTGCAAAACCCAGGCGAGGCCAATATCGCGTTTATAATTCGAACGACCAAACGCAAATTATACATCCACTACAACCCATCCCGTCGCAACGAACGAAAGGAATCTTTGTCTTTAGCACGCTATATGACCAGTTGGTTGTTGGACCCACCGCACTGGATCAATCCTCGAAGACAGACCGATCGATCGATCCCAAGGTCGCTCGGGAACTCGACGATCACATTCGCCGGGTTATTCCCAACATCGATACTGAAAAGTCTTACGTCGGAGACTACGTCGGAATTCGTCCGGGAACCAACCATCGTGACTATCAGATTCATCTCAAACCAGAGAAACGTTGGATTGCAGTTGCTGGAATCCGTTCTACGGGACTCACGGCAAGCCTGGGAATCGGCAACTATGTTGTTCGGCTGTTGCAGAGTATCCTTCGGGACCCATCGGATGCACTGCGTGAGGATGGCGACTCTCAAGTACACGACCAGGCTTCTAGCGAACGTGTTATCAAAACGACACCAATGCCCACGGTTGAGAAGCTGGCCGAGGATTTTGTAACGAACGGGGATGGCTGTTGCACAATACACGGTCTTCGGTATCGCGTCACACATCCATTGACAAAACTAGGTTTTAAGTCTTTGATGTCGAACAAATTGCCAAGCAAAAGTTGCAGATGATCTAAGCCGAAGCATCTCTCTTCACTATAACTATGGGTATATACCTAGCTCGGATATACATAGTTTGATGCAAGAGATTTTGTCGCACTGTGACTCTAAACTTGTCACTGAGTTTTATCAATTTACCAAATATTAAACAATATGACAACATGGCATGAAACAATAATAATGTCCTTTCCCTGTGAACGAATGAATTGTAACAGTAAATTAGCCTTACTTATTGTTGCACTCTCCAGTCCACCCTCTTATCGTTCTAGATTCGTTTGATTTCTACTTGAATTCGATCTTGAGCATCATGGGGAATCATGGTATCATTTGCTCCAGCGTGTCTTTCGAGCTTCTCTTTCTGCATCAGTTTAATCTCCATCACAGCGTATGTTCCCCCCGTCGTTCCCTTCGTCAAGTGTCCTGGATTTACCGCAATGGTGCTTCCAACAATCGGGGCGCAAAACGGTGTGAGGCGACTAGGAAGAAGTAAAACATCAGGTCGACAAGGCATTTTCCATCCGTCTTGTTGTTTGAGATCCAAATTGACCGATCTATTCGGGGGGAAAAGGGGATAATAACTTTGTTGCTGAATCATATGCTGAGAAATTCGGCGCATCCTTGATCCGACTGGAAGATTGGCGTTGGTCTCTTCGACACTCATATGGAAAAGGACATCGGTGGAGGTGACACCAAAAACCAGCTCGTTGACTCTGAACGTGCAAGGGTTGGAGAGGCAACGGAGACGGATTTTTCCGTTCTTTTGAGGCTTTGTCAGGCGGTGCAGCCCCGAAGAACCAAAGTCAGTGACATCAGCGCCAGGAATGTCCAAAAGGTTTGCACCATTTGCCAATCTATCTTGAAGAGGAGGTTGAGGGTAGCTGAATGACGGCGCGTGCAAGATTTCGAAACAATTTGAACAAAGAAGGGATTGAGAAGCAACCCAAAAGGTACAAACCGAGGTTTGAAACTCGAACATCGAATAACAAACGCATCAGTTGCCAACACTTACACGAATTTTGAAGTTGCATCCTCCAGTGCCGGCACCAAGACAAATTCCGTTTGCAAATCAGCGGAATCAAAACATTCCTCAATGACTCCAGATATGTTTTGGGCAAAGATAGTTTCATAATCAACTATAACTCCATCCAACTCGGGTCTTCCTGACTTCACCGCTTCATGCCTAACATCAACAAAGGGTCCCATCAGGACAACCACATCAGGCTTTTCATCAATTACAACATGTATCAAATCGATGAAGGGTTGGTATTCCATATTGTTGGCGGTGGTGAAAGGACCGCATGCCGAGATCAACTTGAGGGGTGAACTATGTTTATCATCAGTGTAATAACATTTGCGGATCGCACCGCAGGAAGACGATGCCGGTGGTAGGGGCGCACCCTCTCTAACTTTCGTGGCTGTAATCTTTCGTCCCGTACCGTTCATGCCTTCGATGGCGACAATTTGGCCGGGAAATAGAGAATATCCCTGCTGTTGCTGCTGTTCAGACTGCATCTGCGACAGGTCGACGTTCACTCTTGCACCCCCGCAAGACGAGGCCGATCCCTCCAACACAACCGATGTCGAGTTTAGCCTTCCAATGTGAGCCTCGTTACAAATTCTACCAATGCATGTCGATGGGTCCTGCCGGGGAACATTGACCTCTTCGAAAGATGCTGCAACATCGTCTTGCTTGGTACTCATTTTTTTGGCGGTTTCAGTGTTAATGTCCTCGACGATGGCATCTTTCATTCGGACCAGATGACGCTGGAGGGCATCGGCGCGATCTTCCATCGTTGTGAACATGTAGCGATAGGGCTTGGCAATGTTGAAACGTGTCACATCAGCGCCAAAGTCGTCCTCTTTGGCATCTCCTTCGCTGCTGGTCGTCAGGACACACGGGCAGCGTGCTGCATCCGAATCCCTCTCACTTCTGGTGCTACCGGCCGGATATGATGCAACGACGTGTCCCACCTTGGTTCGTTCCTCGTACTTAGGCAAATTGATAGGCTTCTTTGTCGTCGACGAGACAGTGGCAACACCGGTACCGCTTCGCACGGGACTCGGAACAGCATTTCCATCTATTGCCACGCGGTCTACGGAGGAGGTGACAAGGTCGTCCGGAGATTGTTGCTTTTGGCGCTTTGTAGAAGACGTCGGAGTGACCATTGTCGCTGCGGCAGGGGACTCTCGCTTGATCGCTGATTTGCGGGAAGCCATCGTAGCTCCCATTGGTGAACCCGAACTTGGCGGAACATCGGGGATGATTGGCGCCAGGGACGAGGCTTTGATAAGTTCGTTTTTGTATGACTCGAATTGATGCATTGTAAGCTCGGTAAGATTCTCTTTGTTCAGACTGTGTGCCTCCCAGACTTCTCCCATCGTCTCAGGACTCAGATTCAGCGTCGATGCCAAAGCGACACCTGAGAAAGCAGAGCAAGCGTTTTTTTTGACGCAAAATGAGTGTCGTCAGTTGTGATTAAAATCAAATCGAGACAAGATCATCTCATCACAACGGTGGATTTTTGTCGTTGCGAGTACAGCAGAGTATTAGGTTACTTACATTTGCTCAAGACGTTGCTGTCGATGGTTTTGAGTCCTGCACCGATCAGGGCGGATTTGATGAGTTTCTTGGTCCGCAGACCGTCACCAGCGACTTTCTTAGCTGCAATCATGACAAACTATGAGGACAGATACAGCTGCTGCCACGATATTATTACACTTTACTATTGCTGTCCCTCCAGGTAGAGAAAGATCAGTTGGAATAGTAGTGCAAAGGAGCCCCCGTCACGTTTTTGATGTACCCACGAGATATCGATCGACTGTTTTGTGCATAGAGCAGAGGTAGGAGTCAACCAACCGTACCGGTAGAGAGCATACGATACCGTAACGTGCATTCAGCTACAAGCTGTCGTTACTTGTGACATTACGTACGGTACCTACCTTTACGATAAAAGCAGTTTCACCACCTTTGCTCTTTCTCTTCGGGGCGCTCTGCTCGTTTTTCCGAGGCTGCTTTTTGGCGCAAAAAATGACAACCGCCCGAATACCAACTTTTTGGCGCGAAGAAGAGTAGGAGAAAATAGCACCATTCGCTATCTGCGGCAAAAGGTACACCGAATGAGGGGATCGAACCCTCGACCACACGATTAAGAGTCGTGCGCTCTGCCAACTGAGCTAATTCGGCTCTTTTTCTCTTCATGCCACGTCAGTGAGCAAATTAATTATCCTACTTTCACCGTAAGATCAGTCCGTAGAATGCTACTTCTAGAAGTACGAATACTCGTACTAATCATGTCTAACTATTCGACCACGCACACAATTAAATTGGAAAATGAGTTGTGAGTACGAGTACGAGTACGTACTACTAGTTTCCGATTGCGGTTACGTAACTCGTACTCGTATTCATCGATTCCAGAAAGCTGAGAGAAATGGTGTTTATTAAAAATATAATTTGAGAGGGTTAAGACTTTGACAAGGCCTCTCTTGAAACATTGTATGAAACAGAAACACGAATATTAGTTATCCATAGGACACCGGGTGCTGTAGAGAAGTTTTGCGAGAAAGAAACAGGAGACTTCATACACTTCCTCTACAAGTACGAGCTACTGCTTCAGAGCACATCCGCCAGCACTAGCAACCCCAACTGTTTCTTTGCCTTTCACATTGGCTGTAGTGACCGCAAACAAATTCACCATTTTTCATAATTTATCGTTAGTCAACCATTCATTCCATCTCGGGAAAATTGCGGTCACTTAGTGTAGTCCAACGGCCATAACCTAGGATAGTTCGCGTAAACATATTCTTCTGTCATCACCTCCTGCTGCTCTTGCAACTGGGGAGCCCAAAGGACTTCCCCTGCCACGACACAATCCTCTACCGCCGTCACATCCCCGGAGAGTTGTACCAATGCTTCTCGCAAAGATTTTCGTGTCTCAACCTGACGAGTACCAAAGGGCTCCATTGTGTTTCCCTCAATGACGAGATGAATCTGAACCAGAGCGAGCGATGCGATACTACCGCCAGCAGAAGAGGGAGACAAAGCGTCTCGCTCCGAAACATCGTCTAGTCTTATCTTCCCGTTGTAGTTGCTCCAGGATTCCCGCTCAAACTTGCTGCGTTCTCTTGCCGAGATACGGTTGTAGTGCCGTTCCGCTCGAACGACGGATTGGTCGCTCGATCGGTAGTGATGGTACTGTGATTCGACGGACGCGACGGTGCCCTTGCCTACCTGACGTGCGAGTTCCAAAGCAGTTTCGGCAATCAGCGATTGCAATCCCTCTCGGGTATCCGTCGACGTCGTTTCGGCCAATCGCTGTATCTTTTGCACAACGGACGTGGGAGCACCGATGTCGGGCACATTCAAACACGCGGTCAAACTCCACACTGACAGGCCCGGACCAAGAGGATGGCTCAGGTCGTCGTCTCCGAATTTTTCTCTGTCCGATCTTCGTTTCAGAACCCCCCTGGTCACCAATGCCGTGGATAATACCGCTACAGTGATGTCCGAAGCCCGCGAATCGTGGAAAGGATGTGGATTTACCTTTCGCACAAAGTTTGTCGTTCCATCGGTATTCGTTACGACAGCTACATCCTCGCCGGTCACTTTTTCGCCGGTCGGTCGATGGTAGGTGCGATAGGAGTGGTTGCGAATGCGGTTCGTGTTCGAGCGGCCGGGTGGATACACGACACGAATCGGAGCCGGACGGTGCTGCCGGCTTTGGATCCTGCGATTGTCACCGGAAGGGCGGTGGACCTTCGAAACAGGCGGATGGCGAAACCGATCCGACCTCCCAAACGATCCGCCCGCTCGTCCGCTGCCCGCTGCCCAGGCCGGATCCAGAGCCGAGAAAGTAATTGCCATAAATAGAACCATCGATACCATCCAGCGACGAATAGATCGCGAAAGCGCTCTTCCAACCCCAAGAAACGAAACGGCTCTATCGAAGAAACGGCGAACACGGCTCTGTTTGTTTCTCGGGCTGTCGTCACCGTCGAGGGACGAGGCAGTGAACAATGGCGAGGACAAGGAGGCCGGCTTCCAGGCTTTATTCTCGCATCGCTCAGTGCGCATGAGTGGAGGTGTTTTTGAAAGCCGTCGGTATCCGCATCGCTTCGACGAAGCGGCCCCGAGCACCGGTGGCTGTGTAGTGTGGAACGCCTGTACAAGGCTGAAAGAACGAGAGACGAAAAGAGGCCCCGTCGCGAGCATCAAAATAGTCGCTAGCAACCTCATGGCATCGATTGCAAGAGATGAAGCAAGAAACGAAATGGTTAGGTGATGCGTGCCTACGCTTGGTTGTTCTTTTTGTGAAGAACTCTGCCTAAATCCAAATATTTCTTCAATTTTTTTGATTTTTTGACGTTCGGACATACCATACGGTACAATCATCGTACGAAGTGTATGTACTAAGCGTAAAACAACAACAACTGAAATGAAACACTGGGAACATTACAGTACTAATTTAACATTCCAAATGTTAACAGCAGCAAAGTAGGCCTGTGTAGAAATAAGTACTGCAGTTTTTTTCTTCAATTTAACTTTTTGAATGCTCTGCTTCACATTCTAAATGTTATCAGCAGGAGGGGAGGCTTCCTCCTGCTGCTGTTCTTCTTCTTCTTCCACCAGCAACACCAGCAAGACCAAAATTCTTATTGGTTTTTGATGATACTAGCAAAGCTACCAAACAATGAAGAATGTGGATGCACGAGATTACGTGTACTCTTAGTAGGTGTTAAGTGTGTATGAAAATTGAAATATAAGATTAAGATTCTCGCGCTTCGAAGTGAGCTTTCAGTAGACCTGATTAGATCCTGTGTAGCTCTCAGTACTAAATCTACACAGGGTTCTTATTATTCTGATCTACTGACATCTTTGTTCCGTGCGAGGTATT